AAATTATAAATTATATGAATTTTAATTAAAAAATTTTTAAATTTGTTTAAAATCAACTTTTATTAAAAAAAAAAATAATAAATACTATTAATAAATAATATATAATTAAAACTAATATTATGTATATAAATTTTTGAAAAATATTTTATTTACTGTATTTAAAAAAATAAATAAAAGCAACTTTTTAGTTAAAAAATTTTAAACATTATAAAAAAAATATCATATTATTTAAGAAATAAGTAAAATTAGAAATATAATTTATTTTGATTTTTTTGAATCAGACTGTATATTAATTTTAATTAATATTTTTTTATATACTTATTATATTCACTTTATAATATATTAAAAATATCTTTTTACTATTAAAAAATTTTTGTTAAACTTTATCAGAAAGTAGATGCTGTAACTTAATATTAAGTCAAAAGAAATTTTTACAATATTGAAATAATTTTAATAATTGATATTGTTGTTGTTTTTTTGTAGTTGACAAAAAAATTAAAAATTTTTAAATTGCTGTCTCTTTTTAAATATAATTTAATTTATTCAATAATTTAAAAAAACTTTATAATATGCGGTGTATAGTATAGTGTATGGTATAATTTATATTTTTAAATTAAATTAGTTTATTGGAATTAATAAATAAATAAATAAATAAATTATTGTAATTTATATATTGCATGTGTAAAATATGTACATACTGTATATACGTACAGTAACAAGATTTATTTATTTTATTCTGATCGTTATATTAGACATGAATATTGTGCTAAATAAATAAAAAAAGATTTAGCAAACCAAACATCGATCGTTGCCATTTTCACATTTGCTTGTTTTGAATGCTTTCATATTTAAAACAATTGCTTTTCATTTCTCGATTATACAAATTACATAGAAGATAAAAAGGAACAATAAAAATATTGTAATACAGTATGTACACTAACTATTATTTCTTCATATAATGTCTCTATAGTAAAGTACAGCCAATTCATCGCGACCAACTTTATTTGATGCTGATGTCATCGATGGTTTTTCTAAACTCCTGACCAATTTACGGCGTTGATTATGACCTCCACTTCTATTCCGTATGGTGTCTGTTGAGGATTTACTCCGTGGAAGCATAACATATTTATCATTCGGTTGCCATGGAGTTGTGAGTGGATCGGGTGATGAATCACGAATTGCTCTTTGTTTTTTGCGCGTGGTTTCTTCCTTTTCTTCCAGTATCGCTGGAACATCGACAGTTTCCATTTCTTGCCCTCTCAGAGCAGTGATTGGAAGGATATTCTCATCGGATGATACTGCTCCATCAAAGTCTTCCAGAGTGTATTGCGGGGGAAACGTAGCCGTCGTATTCTTTTCATCAGTGGGCGTTGAGGTCATCAAAGGTCTCATGTCATGCCAATCTTCTAGTTCACCGATGTTACCTTCAGCTCCGTTGTCGAATGATAGATCCTTTTCACTTGCCGGCTTTGTTAATCAATCAACAAATAAATATTAATTACAAAATGATTGATGTTAGGTTTTCATTAGCAAAATTATTAATTACCTTGTCAACTTTTGACACCATAACAATTTCACCACCGCCAATGTCATCGTTATCACTGACAGCGTTTTCACCTTCACCATGAGTATCCTGGAAAATCTGAAAACTAACACGTTTCTTGACTTCTTCCTTTCCCTTCGTAGATTGTTTATCGGGTGCAAATGCGGAATTTACTTCTACAACCTCGTGAAACTGAATCGAAGGATCCTCGCGTGACCTTTTGTTTGATTTATCAGCTAACGCACGTTTCCTGATTTCTCTTCTAATCTCTTCTACATCTTTTAATATTTCCTTTCGAATCTCTTCACCTCCAAGGCGTGCGCCATCATTAACCAATCGTTTTCCATTGTAGTCGGTACTATCTTTAGTCGCGCTGATGTCTTTTGTCGAACTGATATCATCATATGTATCATTGGACGACCTCTTTGTATTTTCATCTTCATCTCGAGAGTATTTCTTTTTTTTTTGACCAGAAGAAGGATCATTGCTCTTCCTCTTGATGATGATGTTGCCACACCCTTTCTTGCTATTATTCCTCTTGCCATTATTCCTCTTGAGGTTACCGTAGAATTTTGATTTATCCTTCACACCATACTCTAAAAACTCGTCAAAAATATCATATTTCATGTTTTCTGATGTCGATGCGGCAGACGCCAATTCATTTTGCGAAACAATTTGACCTAAAATTACATTCGAACCTTCATCATTATCTTGGTCGGTCAAAGAGAAGTTTCTAGAGTCATCATTGGTTCCACCGTATGATGATTCGTCTTGGGATGATGTAAGCCGTCGTTCATTCGTGCCGAACACTTTGTTGTATCTGGTGAAGGCGAATTTCGGTGTAGTAAAGAATCGAGAGCTATTGGGCAATGACATATATGTATAAAGAGAATACTTTCGTTGGTCAGATAACGATTAAACGGATGTACAATGAAAACTAGTAATATGAATTTTTTATGAGGGATTGAGAGGCCATCTAAAATTATTCAGGGAATTTATTGAGAACCAGTAGAATAAAGTTATGAGAGATTAAAGGAGGCGAGAGGCGTGCGTTAAATGTAATGAAAGTAAATTATTAATGATAGCTCGTGAGGGAGAGTTTCCTCGGAGTCATGTGATTCGTCAACATGATTACGCAAAAAAAGTCTTCTAAAGTACCGGATAAATGAGATTTAAAAAGTTTTTATGAACTTAATTACGATCCGAAATAGATCATTCATGCATCTTTAAATTAAGATTGTAAGGACTACATTGAATAACATTAAATTAAAATATTGTTGGGAATGAATAATTTCTTTTAAATTCCTTTTATTTATACTCGTAATATAATTATTTTTTTTTAATAAGATATATATTTTTTTATTAATAAATGCATTTATAATAACTAAGCTTTACTCGAGTTTGTCATATCGGCCATATACATGTTAAAGACGATATTCACTCAAACATTCCTAGTCACTAACGACCATATAAATATGAGTAAAGAATTGGATTTTCTCTATAGAGCAAGAAAAATCAATAAAAAAAAAAAAAGATATATAAAACATAATAATTGTAATTAGATAGGGCTGCTTTTAATGATGGTTTTTTATGGAAATGTGAAAGAAGGAAGAAACCAATGTTATTATTAAAATATGAAATATGATGCTCATGGAATCTTTGAACTCCGAATATGCACAACCGGATAATTCTTCAACTTTAATGAGCCGCGATGCCGTTAACCTTTGCCTTCTTGTCATTGGCGATTTTTCGTGCTTGACATTGAATAACACCAATTTGTTTATAGGTGGTTGTGTATAACTCATGGGCGTATTTGCCGGGTTCTGTGTTCAATGCCTGGGTGGCTTTATCCTGGGCTTGTGAGGCGTACGATCTCACTTTATCTTGAACGGAATATTTGTTATCAATTTCCGAAGCTTTATGGACAACGGTTTCGACGACCTTATATTTCTCGTTTATCTCTTGAACTAACGGTAGTGAAATAAGGAGAGAAAAATGTAAGCACGCGAGAAAAAGATACGCTTTAGGCAATGATGATAGTAATAACTTACGTTTGGTTGTTAAATGGGTAATATAATGATTGAAACGTTCGGATACACCCAACTTGGCTATATATATATATATATATTTAAAAAAAAAGAAACAGAAAATATTACACTTAAGTAAAAATCGACAAAGAGAAAAAAACAAACAAGAAAATTCAAGAAAAGGTTCAAAGAAGGTAATGTATAATAAAATACACACCATCGATGCCACTACCTGTCTCGTAAATAGTATCTTGAAGCTGATAACCCGCAGCTAGAATTTCAGCCAAGATTACGGCTTTGTCGTATTTTCCCTTGGTTTCGAGGTTTTCGCCCTCTGAGTAAGCGTCATCAGTATTCACATCCTCGGCTGGCTTGACGGTAATAAGTGATTCACCCATGATTGAGTTGGTCAATAATAAGGCGGCTCTGGCAGATGATTCTTTTTCGAATGTGATGTATGCGATATATTTTTCACCGTTGTCTTCCCTATGAATAGAGAATGGGGAGAAGATTAGCAAAGTTAGTCTCACAAGACGATGAGATAAAGAAAAAAAAGTCTCTTTACTTTATGAGCTCGAAATTTCTAATCTTGCCAACGAATCCGATAAAATTCTTGACTGTTGTGGTAGCAAAAGGTAGATGAACAAATGGTTAATTTAGTCACAGAACTCGATGGTGTATGTGTGTTCCAAGAGGAATGTTATGTTATGTTTTTCCATTAAATTCTTTTCAAAGATAATACCTACGAATTCCGGGGTCTTTGAAGAAATATTGGTTACGATGATTTTATTTGATGACATTTTTAAAAATATGTATTGCAAAATGAGATGACTTAAATGGAAATATATATCTGCCTATTTATATATATTTCAAAAAAAAAAAAAAAAAAAAAAAAAAAAAAAAAAGTATTTACTTTTATTTACTTGTGGTGATGGATGACGGTAGAGTGGTGTGGTGTGGGCGGATGAGATTTTTTTTTTTTTTTAGTCAATTAAACTTCTCGTTGAAGAAAGGCAAAGTTGTGTTAAAGGTTGTGAGCAGACATTGGACTGACTGTTTAAATAAAATTTTTTAAACTCCGTTTGATTTAACCCAATATAAAAATCAACCCCCTTAATCTCATATGCAAGTGGGTTTGGCGCCTTAATTTAAAGTGATAAACGTTGTCTCTTCTTTTAACTCAATTGACTATATATCATTTACTTTGTGTGATGCCTATTACAGGGATTACTGAGTTATTTTTTTTCTTTTTTTTTCAAAGAAGTGCGTAAAAAAAAAAAAAGTATGACGAAACCGAGATAAATGAGGAAAGGTGCGCGTGAAAATAGTGTGAAAATTGTGTGAAAAAACAAAAATAGCAAGGACAAAAAGGACAAAATTCACAATCAATGACTGAATACAAGGTTTATTAAGCAACAGGATATTGAACAAGGTCATAGTACGTACAAATCAGCAGGGTATCGTGAATTTTTGCGGGTGCTCGCAGTCTGCGCTCACATTCACATTCTTACGCTTCACTGTAAAGCGATCAAACATTTATGAGGGTAAACTAATTTGGCATGATTTGCGCACATCATCTTACAAAACTCTCGTGTTAACCATCTTCCTGGCGAAAACCCTATTTTCACGGAGATCAAACAATGTCAAAATTGTGCAGCGTAGCACGTATTATCATCATGTTACGTGCATTCTGACGAATCAGTGATTATGCGCGAATGCCACAAAAAAGATGCTTAACCGGAAAAGGCGATTACTTTTAGCGCATTCACTTACCACTCATATTGATTTTTCGTCAGCGTCTCATGTCTGCGGAAATTACATACACGTGAAATCGTGAAATGCATGCCTGATCATTATTACGTAGACTGTCTATCTGTATAACCCAGATATCAAATGCCTAACATTAGATTCATTAGATTCACTAGGATTGGATTGCATGCGTGACCTGAAGTCTTTAAATTCTTTCTTTTTTTTTTTTTTTTTCATAAAAAACCCTTGTCGACCCTTAATGGACTTCGCTTATCAAATTAGCTAATCGATTATATAATTGTTTTACTTATACACAATAAAAGATGATTCAAATTCCTTACGGACCCTTCTGGAAGGTGATGATGATCTTACACATGTACTACCGTACGTATTGTCTGTCATATGAAATGAATCATGAAGGTTCCCTCAGCCCAACATCATGCTATCAATTGTGCCACTTTGCGAGGTGAAGTAAACAAATCGTGAAAATCACATCTGTCCCACCTTCTGAGGTTCAGGTCTTCATAAACGAAGGTCCGTGCAGATAATGTTTGCGGGGTTGGAATCAATAACGTGTGAAAGTTGAACTTTTCCTTTTTATTGTGCATGAAAATTACCTGTTTTACGTGTGCACGAAATCGAAATTCGCATTATCATAATCTCACACGCGATATTTTCATGTAAACACGAGATGTCTGGAATCAAATTGCGAAACGAATTGACCTGTTGGTACCGGATTTATCTTGTTTGCTAAAGGGATCTATACAAACACAAAAAAAAAAAACTTTCTGGTCTGTAGCTTACGTGGAAGGACACGTGTAAATAAATGATCAAGTAGATTGTCTTACACGATAGTGGCGGTGGTGGCTAAAGATTTTAATTTTGTATACTATATAGTACATTTTATATAGTACATTACATGTAAGTGATCTTCGGGATCCTACAAATATACAATATGAGCTTACACTTTTGGACTATTCATTGTTTCTATAAAAAAAAAAATGAAAAATAAAGGAAACTAAAACAAAGAAAGAAATAAATAAATAAAAAAAAATCGCCCCCACCTGGATTCGAACCAGGATCCTTTCGGTTAACAGCCGAACGCGCTAGCCGGTTGCGCCATGGAGGCTTTGGTGTTAGATCTTTCCCTTAAGATTTTATTGATCATGAATGCACACAATGTGCGTGTCTGTATGGTCACCAGCATATACGGTTGGTAAACAATGCAATATTAATAATTAAATCTCTATTTGCTATTTATTTTACTGATTGTTATTTTTAA